TCCCTTCCCCATGCTGACTTGGACTTCCTGAAGCCCAATTTCTGTCTCTCCTATTGTTCCCAGAGCCAGTTCCTTAGCTTCTGCCCTGAGGCACGAGACCTGCCTATTTCCCTGTCCTTGAGACAGGAAAAAAGACAGAGGCCCCAAGTATGACCTATTTGGTGTAATAATTACAGAGAGCCGAGCGCTAACAATCCGACACTTCTGCATCGATAATCCCTTCTGATCCCCATAGCCCTGCTGAGAAAGGAAGAGCAAATACCACTGTCCCCATTTCACAGATGAGGGAACAGGAGCCAGAGGGGAAAAAGGAGAGTGGCGCCCAGGCTGAAAGGAGTGGGGGAACCGTAGGCATCTAAGGCCTCCCCCACACGCCTCCACAGCTGGAGACGGGCCACCTCCTGCCAGCACCTCTGCCCCAGCTCTCTCCCTCTCAAGGTCCAATCTGGGGGAGGCTCTGTGCCCTGAAACCCTGGCAAAATGTTGCCATTTAAGAGCACCTTTGCATAGATCTTACCATTTTGTTATCTCATTTCATCTTCATTAAAACTCCATGAGGACCACTGACCAACATTATAATCATGGCAAACATTTACACAGCACGTTATGGATACCATTCTAGGCACTCCGCATATATTTATCCATTTGATTATTTTTTTAAAATATATTTTATTGATTTTCCACAGAGAGAAAGGGAGAGAGATAGAGAGTCAGAAACATCGATGAAAGAGAAACATCGATCAGCTGCCTCCTGCACATCCCCCTACTGGGGATGTGCCTGAAACCCAGGTACATGCCCTTGACCGGAATCGAACCTGGGAACTTTCAGTCCGCAGGCCGACGCTCTATCCACTGAGCCAAACCGGTTTCGGCTGATTATTTTTTTAAAAAATGTGTTTTATTGATTTTAGGTCGGGAGAGAGAGAGAAAGAGAGAGATCGATGTAAGAGAGAAACATCAAGCAGCTACATATGCACCCTGACTGGGGAGCTAACCTGCAACCTAGGTATGTGCCCTGACCAGGAACCAAACCTGCAACCTTTCGTGCATGGGGCGACGCTCCAACCCACTGAGCTACCCGGGCCAGGGCTCTCCCTCTAATTCTTACACACAGCCTCCTGAGATAGATATCATAGCTCCCTTTTAAAGATGGGGAAACTGAGACAGAGAGAGGCTAAGGAATTTGCCCAAGTCAGTAGCTAAAAGGCCACATGACTTCTCCCCTCTGAGCCTCAGCCTCTGCATTTGCTGGGTGGCAATAATGTCTACCCCAAATGGGGGGCAGGGGGGCAATGAAACCAGGCGGGGTGGGGGGGAGGATGCCCCATCTGCCAGAGAGAAAATGAACGCTAAGTGGGGGCTGGCTATTTTCCCCTCCCAGGTTACAGATGACGAACAGGCTCAGAGAAGTTGCCTACTTGTCTAAGGCTTCGCAGCAAATGAGGCCAGAGGTGGGGCCTGAACTCTCCGGTGCTAAATGCCAGGCTCTTTCCCCTCCATCCTTCCCTTCCTCCTTCCTGTCCCTGGCTGCCTCTCCTCTTTTCCTTCCTCCAACTCATCACTTCGTACGTGCATTGAACAGAACGCCACGAGCACAGGGCCTGTAGGCCAGGAAGATGCTGCACCTCT